CTCAAGACTAATTTCCATTTTATCCAAGATAATAAATGAGAAGAAAAGTAACACTGATTCAATGTTTATTATGTATTAGGTTTTAAGAAATCTTATTCATTTTTCACAGGAACTCCGTAATTTTTTCTAACAATAAAATTCACTAAAGTATATCTTGAATTCCAGTGCTTCCAAAAATTGCAAGATAATTATGTGAAAAATGTATAAGTACACTAAAATATATCAGAATATGTAGACTAATATTATGTATAGGCTGTTTTTAATGTCAAAATAGCTTTAAATCTTTTTCCCAGGATGTATCATAAAGAAGTCAATGATTCCTTTTTATCCATGATGAAAATAATATTTTGGCTATAGCTAGCAACTAAAGTAACTAGGTTGTAGCATGATCAGATGGGTTATTGTGACTTATTTACCATCTAAATTGGACTGCCACACAGTCATTCCAATCTATGTAGCAAATACTTTTTAAATCAGGCCAAAAAAAAAAAATTCCTCAAGACTAGCTAATAATCCATTGGATATTAGTATTTGAAGATTACTCCTCAGAAAAGAAAAAGGGCTTACTTAAGGTAATTACATAAATTACTTGAAGATCACCTTCCAAAGGCTCAGAACTCATATTTAATATAGCTGATGGAAAGTCACCCAAATCTCTTCTAGAATTATAATAAATGTGGCTAACATTTATTGACTACTTATTCTTTGTCAATACTGTCTCATGAGCTTTATATGTACCAACTCATTCAGTTCTTGTAATAGTCCTATTATTTCTACTTTAGAAATAAGCAAAGTGAAGTACAAAGACTTTCAGCAAATTTGCTTAAGTTTACATAGTTAAGAAATGGCAGTCAAGGGCACCTGGGTGGCTCAGTTGGTTAAGCAACTGCCTTCGGCTCAGGTCATGATCCTGGAGTCCCAGGATTGAGTCCCGCATCAGGCTCCCTGCTCAGAAGGGAGTCTGCTTCTCCCTCTGACCCTCCCCCCTCTCATGTGCTCTCTCTCTCTCTCATTCTCTCTCTCAAATAAATAAATAAAATCTTAAAAAAAAGAGAGAAATGGCAGTCAGGGTCCATTTTGTTATACTGCCTCGTGAGACTTCAGATTTTACACGTGGTAGAAAATACAAACATTATAGAAAGGTACATAACAGAATTTGTCATCCCTCTCCCACTTTTAGAGTTACTGTATCTCCACACTACCACCAAATGTATGTGCATGCACGTGTGTGTATGTGTGTGTGTGTCACACAAATGTATTACTATTAGTGATAAATATTTAGATTTTAGTTTTTACTATACATATGTATAGAGATATACATACATACATGTTCCAAGCTTGTTCAAGTTTATTTGTAAAATAAACTCTCTGCAAGGAAATTACTGTATCAAGGATTATGTACATTACAATTTTTTTGAAAGATTTTATTTATTTGAGAGAGAGCACATGCACATGCAACCCGAGCTGAAATTACTGAATCAGAGGCTTAACCGACTGAGCCACCTAGGAACCCTTGTGCATTACAACTTTTATACACACTATCAAACTGCCCTACAAAAAGGTTGCAATGATTTATACCCTACCAAAAATGTGAATACTCAAAATTTAACTTTTACTAAACTTATAGTATATATAATAGGCCAACAGTATAAATTCAGGTAAGTGTTGAATGAATGGACTATTGGCACTCCTAATTATCTATATTTTAAGAAGTATGCTTGAGGGGCTTTGGGATATTATGAACAAGAACATATTGAAAAGAGCACTAAGCAAGAATCTAGAGAACTGGGGCAATGCCATCACCACAGTAACAGGGGCCAACGGTGTCTCTGCATACTCTCCTCTGGACCTCCCCAGTGCACAGCAATATCCAACTAAGTCAAATGAACCTTGAGGCCTGCCCAACCTTAGGTCTTCTAGTTTTCCTTTGTTGCTTAGACCATTTGGCTGTATCTTCTTTCCTTGGAATAAAAAAGTCTTAATTGATATACCAAATGGGTCGTCACCTACACTTGTGTGAAGGACTCAGATAAATATTTTAGAGGAGTACAAAGGTTCTATAATAAAAATGATAGGAAATGGTTAGTTATTCCTTCACTATATCTCACAAGATAAAACAAAAAAAGATTTTCTTTTCACCATTCTATTAACTTATCAGAACTTAAAGACAGATTTAAAGATCAGGAAAACACACAAGGTTAACGAATATGGCATACTTAGTCCCTCAGATGCCATTCTTTACACATTTGCCAACAAGATCTGATAAAAAGGTAAATCAGATCACATTACTTCCTATTCCGGCTCTGCTTAAAGTCCTACAGTTAGGTTGCTTAACATGACCTAAAAACCCTGGTTTCTGCCTACCTCCTCAACTGTTTTCTACTACCCTCCCCTCTGACTTACTCTGCTAAAACCCCACCTGCCTTCTTCCCATTCCTTGAACATGCCAATGCTGCTTTCTGCTGTAGGACTTTTGTTCTAGCTGTTCCTCTGCCTGGAGGGCTCTGATCCCAGATCTTCCCATGACTGGTTTCTTTCAGTTATTCACATCTCTGCCGTTCAAATACCTCCTCTTCTGACTCTCCCTGATGACTCCACAGAAAGAAATCCTACCTCCACTCCACTCTCCCTCTATCCCATTTCCTATTTCATCACCCTCATATTACTTGTCACTATCTAAAATTGTACACCACTCTATTAAGTGCATCTAGAGCAGTGCTGGCATATTATGGGTCCTAAACAAATATATGCTGAACAATTAGGTGAAAAGCACAGAAAAAAAATAACCTACTTTGACTATAGCAAAGACAGGGTACTAAATATTAGAAATTCAGAAAGAAAACAGAATAAGATGACTATTCTGGTCCTACTTAGTTTGGTTGGTGATATGAATACAAGGAATATAAGGTAATTGGAAGTTTAAATGTATGGAAATGGATAAATCAGTAAGTGCAGCCCTAATGGCTGGATTAAATTAATGCATTTTGTTAAAAACCATTCTCTGGAGGACATTTAACTTACGGTCAGCAAATCTTTCTCTATTCAACTTTCTTTTTAGTTATTCATAACAAAATATAATTAGGAAAGGAAAGATAACTCATAAATCTACTAACTAAGGTTTTAAATTTAAATTTCAAAGTAATTTCATTCTAGGTTAAACCAAAAAACTCTTATCATCTGCTTCACTTAGCAGAAAACTGGCCACAGGAAAATGTTCATAGCATCCTTTTTCAGGAGACAGATTTCTCTCATTCAGAAATTTTAAAATGCATCCTCAATCTTTAAATTCTTAGGCCTTTGACAGTCTCTTCAACAAATAAAATTATTTGATAGCATTCAAATGCTTCAAACACTAAAAAATTAAAACACACATGTAATTAACCAAGCATACCTCTTATTACTGCTTCCCTGTCTCACCTCTGTGATATCAGTCATGTAACTGACTTTGTTATCGAATGTACTTATCTTTTAATAAAGTTCCTATTTAAGTTGAAGCTTAAATTGGGATAGGCAAATGGGATAGGAACCTCAGGCAATCCAGTTCATTTCTGCAAGGAAACTGAACTTTTCTTGCTAACTCTTCCAATGTGTGGTAAATGAAGAACATCACCTGATAGCCATCTTATATTTGGTTAATTATATTTTCAGTAATCAACAATATCTTAAACTGCAAGAAAAAGGGGAGATTTCTAAGCAAAGAAATTTTATTCAAGTCTAACCACATAAAATTTATCCTGTTTTTAGATATCAGAGGGAATAAATATTTCAGTAAAATGTTACTAAGCTATTTTACTGATTTTTATTTAATGACCCAAGAATCAAAGTAGACTTTGACTCAGTTATCTGAAGAAGCCTAAAAACAATAAATATAAAAATGCCTTATGCCTTGTGGAACTAAAGAATAAAGAAATACTATTGTTTTCATGAAAATTATAAACACTGTAAAAATTTTCATTCAAAATAGATGGAAGAGTCCAAAAATTCCATTTTCCCTTCTCTCCTTCTGTTTTCTTTTGAATTGTCAAATGATAATCAAACCTCCCCACTGTCTAGCTCAGTGCCAGACATATAGTAAGCAGTTAATGTATCCTTCCTTTTGGAATGACTTAATTTCTTGCCCCTAATGACTCATAACCCACCATTACCAGTCAACTTAATGATACCAGCTATATATTGACAATGTTAAAAGAAACCTAAGAAAGTGGCCCAGGCTTACATATTTTCACATGTAAGTATCATTCAACATATTAAAATTTCTTCTCTGAAAAAGCTTAAAAGGACAAAAGTTCATTCAATAATTAAGACCCAGTTTCACACCTAATCATTTGATCTGAATGGGTAATACATACTGTGAGATCATATTAAAGTCAGTGCAATCCACAACTTATGAATTATAGTTAATATCCCAAGAAGTTGGAGGAATGTACAATGGGAGAGGAAAATACCTAAATCAGCTTTTAGAAATAGATGTGAAATACACAGATTAGGATTAAAAACAGAAAACATGACTGATGTACCTTTGCTGAACTATGAAGTTCTATTATCCTAAAATTACAATATCTCCATCTGTTAATCTGACATGAACAAGCTGATAAATGAAATCAGAACAACAGTGTATTCTGGCAAAACTAGAAGTTTCCCGAAAGCCTAGAAAAATATGTCCACAACAGATGGATCACTTAGAAAATAAATACATCAATCTGTCAAATGGAGTACTATTCTAATTCCCTAAATTAAAATCAGTAGGAGTTCCACTTTCCAAGAGTCTGTGACATTAGGAAGGCCAAAAAGGAAAAACCTAAAGATGCACATAAACATATCTGATATGACTAAAGTGTCATACTGTTAGGTTTCCTGTTAAATATACTAAATTTAGGTAAAGTCCTTACCAGTTAACTTCTTCACAGGTTGGAGCCGAACACTGATAGACTGATGTGTGAGTAAGGGGGAGGATGGAAGAGAGCGAGACATGCCCTCCATAATCCGAATGTGCTGCATACCTTCACTCACTGGAAGTGGTGGAACGGCGTAGTCGGGCTCAAAAACACAGTCGCTTTCTGTGGAGATGCCACCTGTTAGGACAGAACAAAAGAGCTGATAAGAAAAGATTTTTCCTTCTCCGTTAAAATTTACCTTTTAAGATAATTCAGAACATCATATACCCATGTTGATTTTCATGGTGAAAAGCCAAATAAGATATTTTCAACACCTACATTCATGTCTATACTTACTGGATGGACACTTAACAGCAGGTTTAGCACTAGGAAATTAAACATGGATAAAATGAGGTTCCTCCTTATAAGGGGCTCACTACCTCATGAATGATTCAGTCCCATAAAGAAATAATTATGGTACAATGCAGTAAGTGTTACAATTGGAGCACTGGCTTCAGGTTTTTTCCCTGATAAGAAACATAAAAGAAGATATTCACCTGCCTGATAATCCAATATGTGCAATTGCTAGTAGGATCACTCTAACTCTCTCTTACCCCCTTCTCCAAGAAAGTATGTGAAAATACAAGTAGGTAAGACTGACATTATTATATGGTAATTTTTTGGGGTAAGATTTTATTTATTTATTTGTCAGAGAGAGAGAGAGCACAAGCAGGGGAAGCGGCAGGCAGAGGGAGAAGCAGGCTCCCTGCTGAGCAAGGAGCCTGATGTGAGACTCAATCCCAAGGACCCTGGGATCATGACCCCAGCTGAAGGCAGACGCCCAACCGACTGAGTCAGCCAGGTGCCCTATATGGTGATCTTTTAATCTGCTTTGATATTTAAAAAGATTAAGTTATACGCTATGTATTTCCACCTATATACTGTTGACTTCTATTTCCAATAATGGCAGATTATGCACTTCAGACCAACTTTTCCCTAAGAAAAACTAGAACTGTACATATGTTTTAAAATCTTCCTGAAGGCACGGAAGAGTTAATAGCATGAGGAAGGATTACATAAAGAAAAAAGAAAAAAAAAAAAAAAAAGACTGAAGCCTGGCATTTGGGGCTACTTTTTACTCAGTGGCATCTGAGAGGCTAAGAAGCTACTGACAGTTTTAAAGAGCTGGAAGGACAAATATTGAAATGCAGAGAAAAACCAAGATACAGAGGGGAAGCTGGTAAAACTCCAACACTTTTGTTTGGAAGCCCAAAGGGCTACACTCTAGGAGTAAGTATGAACCAAAGCCTAGTCTGGCCTTTTACAGGAATAAAGCTCAGCTCCAAATGTCTACCACAAAATTCAATTAAGGCAATCTTGGATTGCTAATGCCTGCCAAAAACTAACGCAAATCTTCTTAGAGGGAGACAATAGTGGCATAGGTCTCAAATTACTTCCACAATTTTTCATACACAGTATCTGGCCCTTAATTGACAAAAACAAAGAGGTAAAACAATATCAAAAAAGTAAATCAGAAAGACCATTCAAAAGAGATAGTCTCACAAGGGATACAGATTGTGGAGCAATGAGGCACAGAATTTAAAGTAGTATACTTAATTAACATCAGAAAGATTAATAATTTGAAATAAATTTAACCAAGGAGGTGAAAGACCCATACACTGAAAACTCTAAAACACTGATGAAAGAAACTGAAGAATAAGTGGAAAGACATCCCAAGTTCAAGGACTAGAAGAATTAGTATTGTTAAAATGTCCATACAACCCAGTCATCTATAGGTTCAACGGAACCCCTATCAAGATTCCGATAGCATTTTTTACAGAAGTAGAAAAAAAGCAATTCTAAAATTTATATGAAATCACAAAAGACCCTAAGTAACCACAGAAATTCTGAGGGAGAGAAAAACAAACTAGGAGGCATCACACTTCCTAATTTCAAAGTATATTACAAAGCTATAATAATCAAAAGAATTTGGTGGTAGCATTAAAAAAAAAAAAACAACAAAAAACACACAGACCAACAGAACAGAACAGAAAGCCTAGAAGTAAACCCATGCATATATGGTCAACTAATCTTTGACACAGGCCCCAAGGATACACAATGGGGGAAATGACAGTCTCTTGAATAAACAGTGCTGGGAAAACTGAAAAGCCACATGCAAGAGAATGAAATTGGATCCCTATCTTATACTATATACAAAAATCAACTGAAAAATGGGTTAAAGACTTACACATAAGACCTGATACCATAAAACTCCTAGACAAAAAGGAGAAAAACTCCTTGAAATTGGTCTTAGCAATAATTTTTTGGATTTGATACCAAAAGCACAGGCAACAAAACCAAGTTAGTAGGTGAGACTACATCAAACGGAAACGTTTCTGCAAGCAAACTATTGACAAAATGAAAAAGCAACCTATGGAATTGGAGAAAATATTTGCAAACGATACATCCTTAGGGGTTAATACCGAAAATACATAAGAAACTCATACTCAATAGCAAAAAGCAAACAACCTAATTATAAAATGGGCAAAAGATGTGAATGAACATTTTTCCAAAGTAGACATACAAACAGCCAACAGTTACATAAAAAGATGTTTAACATCACTAACGTTCAGGGAAATGCAAATCAAAACCACTATGAGGTATCACCTCACACCTGTTAGGACAGCTATTCTCAAAGAGTCAAAAGATAACAAGTGTTGGCAATGATGTGGAGAAAAGGGATCCCTTCTGTTGGTGGCAATGTAAACTGGTACAACCATTATGTAAAACAGCATGGAGGATCCTCAAAAAATTAAAAATAGAACTACCACATGATGGAACAATCCTACTTCTGAATACACACCAAAAGGAAATAAAACTATCATCTCAAAGAGATATATGCACTCCTATGCTCACTGCAGCATTATTCACAGTAGCCATGATTTGGAAACAACCTCAGTGTCTGTCAAAAGATGAAGAAAATGTGATTTTACACACACACACACACACACACTATTCGTCCATAAGAGAGAAATTCTGCCGCTTATAACATGGATGAACCTGGAAAACATTATGCTAAGTCAACTAAGCCAGACACAGAAAGACAAATACTGCATAATCTCACTTATATGTGGAATCTAAAAAAAAACTCACAGTAAAGAGAGGTGAATGGTGGTTACCTGGGCTAAGAGGATGGGGGAAAAAGAGAGATGTTGTTCAATAATTAAGTTCTGGAGACCTAATGGACAGCATGATGACTATAGCTAATAATAATAATACATGGTACACTTGAAATTTCCTGAGTAGAACTCAAGTGTTCTCACACACGCACAAAAAGGTAATTGTGTGAAGTGATATTTAATTAGTGTTATGGTGGTAATCATTTCACAATGTATACATTTATCAAAATAACATGTTATATACCTTAAATATATACAATCTGTATTTCTCAATCATACCTCAATAAACCTGGGGGAAAAGAGTAGAAAATTTAAAAAAACAAGCACATGGTCTTACATGAAATGATGGTAATATGGTCTACACTGAGAAGTAAAATTACAGCAAGTGTCTCACTTAAGGTTCCCAATTGTGTTATAGTTGTAATTTCATCATATGTAATTCTAACTCATTTAAAAAAAACTACTGCAGTATATCATGCATTATAACATAACCAGTCTCTTATTAATGGCCACTTATGCAGCTCTTTCTATAGTATTTCTATAGATGATAAATATAGAATTACTGGGTCAAAGTGCTGAGAGTTTCCCCTGAGAAATACTGACTAAATCCTGTATTAAGTCTGTGTAGGGGAGCCTGGGTGTCTCAGTCAGTTGAATGACCTACTCTTGTTTTGGCTCAGATGATGATCTCATGGGTCATAAGAGATCAAGCCCCATGTGGGGCTCCGTGCTCAGTGGGGAGTCCGCTTCAAGATCCTCTCCCTCTGCCCCTCCTCCCACTCGCTTTATATCTCTTGTGCTCTCTCTCAAATAATAAATCTTTAAAAAAAAAAGTCTGTGTCATGTTGCCTGTAAAAAAAAGGGGGGGGGTAGTATGCTTAATATTTGGAGAAAATAAAAATTTAAAATTCCAGCTAAGAATTAAAATTATGAAAATAAAAACTCAAGAGGTGAATTGAAAAACAGATTAGACAGAGATGAAGAGATAATTAGTAAACTGGAAGGTAAAATGTTTGTGCATCAAAAGTTACCATATCAAGAGTGTGAATGGGGGTGCCTGGGTGGCTCAGACGGTTAAGCGTCTGCCTTCGCCTCAGGTCATGATCTCAGGGTTCTGGAATCAAGTCCCACATCCTTGGGCTCCCTGCTTAGCGGGGAGTCAGCTTCCTCTGTTCCTCCTCCACCCCAACTTGTACACACGCACGCTCTCTCTCTTTCAAAAAAAAAAAAAGTGTGAAAAGACAACACCTAGAATGGCAGCACATATGTGCAAATCATTTATCTGAAGAGAGTCTAGAATCCAGACTATATAAAGAACTCCTACAACTCAAGAACAAAATGACAATGCAATTTAAAAATAAGCAAAAGACTTGAAGAGACATTTCTCCAAAGAAGATATACAAATGGACAAAAAGCACATGAAAAGGTACTCAGCATCATTAATCATTATGGAACTATAAATCAGAGTCATAGGAAGATATCACTTTATACCCGGTAGGATAGCAATTAAAAAAAAAAAAAAGACGACAAAAAAGTGTTACTGAGAATGTAGAGAAGTTAGTTAGAATCCTAATACATTGCTGGTGGGACTATAAGATGGTATAACTGCTGTGTAAAACAGTTGCTGTTCCTCAAAAAGTTAAATACAGAATAACCCAGCCATCTGACTTCTGTGTATATACCCAAAAGCAACGAAAACAAGTTTCAAGCAAAAACCTGAACATGAATGTTCAAAGCAGCATTATTCACTATATCCCAAAGTGGAAACAACTAAAATGTTATGAACTGGTGAATGAACAAAATGTGGCATATTTATATAATAAAATATTATTTAGCAATAAAAAGAAGCTAGCCTGATTCATGCTACAATACTGATAAACCTTGAAAACATTCCGCTTAAGTGAAAAAAACAGACACAAATGGTCACATGTATGATTCCATTTATATGAAATGTTCGGAATAGGCAAATCTACAGAAAGAGTAGACTATGATTGCCAGGGATTACAAGGAGGGAGGAGT